CACATGAGAAATGGTGAATTTTTGGTTCTTAATTGTTCAAAAAGAATGGATGCGACTTTTATTAGGGATGCAGCTTCTAATACAGATTTGATGATACTTATACATTCTCAGCTCATAAATTGAAGCATCAGAAAAAAGGCATTTTCTACAACGAAAATGTTTCACAAAAAATTACCAAGAATACAGCAAAATAGTTTAATACAAATGGTTAAAACAGATAAAATTTCAAGATACTTACCTAAAAAATTGTCTAATTTGACCATGAAGAATTTCAAAATGAAGCCTGTTTTCGGCAAAACATCCTGAATTAACTAAGCATGCATGGTAGCCACATAAACTATCCAACTGTATTTATGCATTCTGACCTCTTAACTCAGTTTCTTGGAATCACAGCGTTCAGTTCCTACCATTCACGCATAACGCAAGAACAGAAAATCCCTTATTTAATCGTTATTTGATAATTATAAGATAGAACTTGGATGAGATTGTTGAGACTTTCTCATCTGGAAACCACTGCGAGAGGAAAGCTCTACAGGGAAAACGATTGTTTTCCCTTCTTATCATATAACTTCTTCTAACAAGGAAGCTTCAGGTCCCCTCAACTACAATCCACTCTACTAAAGAACCTGTACTAAAAGTGTTGGCATCCACCTGGTATTAAAATATATTTTATAATTAAAAGAAAGAAAACTTCTCCTACTCTTACATAGTGTAGCCACTCATCAAAGCATATGGACTTTATACATAATGTGTAACTTGTACAATGTAATTTACTCCACTAGAAATAGATACAAGTAAATCGGTGCAAGGAGGCGTGTATAGACCGCCAGGAGCTAGAATGGCGAAGACTACAACGGCAGTATCCCAGCACCACCGAGGTGGTAAACAAAAAGCACCTGATGTGCATAGCGAACAACAGTTTCCCACATTAGCAGCTAGCCTTGAAAAGCCTCCAGCTGGAAGGTTAGTTTGACTTCGTGCAAATGTTGTTTTGGGAATATTTTGCTTGTAACTTTGCAATAGAGTATTTATTTTACCTGTTATATATATATCATCATTTGGGGAAATGGTAGATGACAATGTTCGGATATACAACTTACAGTTAGTGCTTCTGTGTACATGTATCTGTGTACCTGTTGCACTGATATCTCAAGAACCTATTATCAGATTTTGATGAAACTTGGTACATACCGGGTAGAAGGAATAATTCTCTGATCTCATTAGGATGAAATCTGTGCATATTAATCACTTAATTTGCATATTACTGAGCTGATTTGAAACATTTTCATTTGTTTCTCAAGTACCATTCAACAGATTTTAATGAAACTCAATACAGAAATGTTCTGGAATAATGCTCAGACCTGACTAGTTTTTGGTTGAAATGGGCATATTTATGACCTAATGTGCATACTAATTAGCCAATTTGAAGCCTTTTAGTTTTGTTTTCATGCACTGTTCAACATATTTTAATGAAACTTGGTACATACGGTAGATACTCTTGGTTTGGTGTTTCTCAAGTAAGTACAATTCAACAGATTTTAATGGAACATGTTTCATAGATATGGTCAAAATATTTTAATAACTTTGCATGCAGTAAACGTTTTTAGGACAAATTGGTCACTCCATGACACCGATCAGTATATCAATATTATTTCTTTGATTCTATTATTTTAAGACAGTAACATGTATCAAAATGATGACCTTGTGCTGAGAAAACTTTTTTTGTTATAGTTTGGAGGACATGGAGATAAAAACCTCAAACACGCATGTTTGGCATCCAACATTGGTAAGATTATTACCATGATCCAACAAAGTGTGTACACGGTCACAACAAACTTCTCTATACATGTATATCTGTTCATACCGCTGTGCTGTCTTCTTGTATAAAATATCTTCTCAATATCGTCATGCAATTATGTAATAAATATGTCATTGTTTTTTTTTTATTTCTTGCAGTGATATATACGATAAACATTTTGAAAAAGTAACGAGAGGCGGCCGTGCATCAACTGATGATCTTCCTGGAAGTCGTGGTCCTAAACTAGATTTAGAAAATAAATACCAAGCACTCAGTAAACCCTGAAGTCTGTTAGTGGGGAAGAAAGGGAAGGGAAAGGCAGGGGAGATTCGTCACTGTCAGTAATTGTTACTTGGGTGTGTGGGTGGGGTCATTCCCTTCAGTGGACTTGTAGTTGCTGTTAATTTACATCCCTGTAATTCAATTTTGACTTTGAAATCTACTAAATTACAGCATCTTTTCAAGGATGGGGGAGGAAACACTCCATTGAAATTAAATTACAACTCTTAGAGCTGGCTAACACGATTCATGTCATATACTTCACTTGCAAAGCTCCTTGCCATGTAAATTTTCATCATTCAATACACCATTCTTACAAATAGCGCCCTCTAGTGACGGGGTACGTCTGTGATGTTAAAATGACATATATGGGTGAAGGCAAGGTTGTGCAAACCGTCAACCATGTTTGGTTGTGGCGTCAACCTTTCATTCTCTAGATTATAATTAAATTTCCCCAAAAAATGATCTCCATTGACAGACTACAGATTAAAATGTTGTTGACAATTTGCCCTTTGTGATTTAGATCATAGAAATTTTTCGTCACTAGAGGGGTGACCTTGAAAAATATGTATTCTGATTCAATTTATCATCTCTTTAAGCATAATCATGTAATGTTTTTCTCGTCCGCAAACTTATTAATGCAAACATGTTTTCAAAATATGCTGCGTTCAGGGGGTAATGGTTGTGAGAGTATTTGATGACCTTTTTTTTTTTTAAACCATGGGCACAAAATCCATATATATTGTGAGCGCTTTTGATTTGTTTTCAATTAAAATTTTTTAATTTGAGAAATATCGAGTCTTACCGCCAATATCCAGCTATGATTCCATAATATGACTTACACTGTAATATGCTGTTAAAAGTGATTAAAAATCATAATCCAAAATATTTAACGTGTTGAACTTCTCAATATTTACAGAGAAATTAACTACCGGGGGTACATGCATCAATAGGCAATCTAATCTTGTCGGAAACTGATTAAATAGTTGTAAACAGATTTGTTGTGACAACTCTATCATGTGCAGGTGAACTTTCCTTATTTGAATCGTTGAAACAAAATTAAACTTTGTCGTGTTTCATATATTTGCACAAGAAATGGCTCTATGTAAATTCTCAAATATCCTCAAGATTCCAAAATTGTTCATCCTGAAATCAAATTCTCACATTTGATTTGTTATACAGCTGTGTTGCGTAATACTTGCTGTCAATGTTTTGCCCCCTTCAGATAAACTACCCCAGTTGTTACATTATTTAACATAACATTAGCACCCCCCCCCCCTATAAACAAACCAACCTGACTCTGCACAGGTGCCACCCACATTTCAACTCGTGTTGCTGGACAGATATAGTTTTACTATTTTTTCTTTCTGAAAATATGGGTATAATGACCAAACGTAAGCATTGGCTGGTTTCTCTTGCAACATGAAATTACCGCAAACTTTAATTTCGTAAGCGAGTTGATTTCTTATGACAAGTGATTTACATAATTGTGACTGATTGGCTACCCAAACCATGTGTGAAATCTAATAAGAAACTTGACGAGTTCTTTCAACAAATGTCTTTTATAAATACTTCCACTAAACTGTAATTTGGTGGAGACTAACAACATTATCATGTCATTTAATTGTAGTAGTACTGCTTTCAATGATCTTGCTGTTCGCTGCTTGACTTGTATTTCTACTATTTCTAAGGAAAGCAGTGGTCTCGTTGCACATGCCATATTTGTTTTATTCCCCATCTTTTTAAACGTTGCATGCTCTTGAACCACATGCAAATCCAACTTTGTCACAAAAATTTGGTCATGCAAACGTAATGTACGTTTCCACATACTACTGCCCTTGAAGCGTTTGACAAGTTGCACCATGGGTAAATTCATGTACCCACAATGCATCTTGTTTTTGGACTGAAAAACTAGATTGTATTATTCCCTAAGATGCTGCATTGTACTTGTCAATAAAGAAACTGAAATGTATGTATGTGCAAACAATGAGAAGTCAAAATTAAATAGTATTGTAACCAACAATGCAAATAATGAATAAAGTTATTTGATTTGGTGTTTATAATATACCAATGTCATTTATTGTTACAAATTGTAATGGATTTTTGTTACAAAATGGAATTTTCCATTACTAGTGTGGGGTGTAATGGAATGCAGCCATTCAAAGTTAACCCAAGAATGGCCTTGTAATGCGCAATGTGACTAAGTCTCCACAGATCACTACCAAACTCGATTAAAAAAAACAAAAAAAACGTTGACATTCATGTCTAAACTATTGTAACTGTCATTGCCAAGTTTGAACCAAATCTAAGCACATCTGAGAAAAGAGTCCAGATATACATGCACAGGGCATCAAACATGTGAAACATCATACAAACATGTCTAAGCATATTCCAAGTGCTTTTTTTTTAAATAGCTGTTTGAATCAAAATATATAAAAACTGGACACGCATGTTTGAATCAAATCAGCCTAAAAAAGTTGATTTACCGGTAATCACTATACAACCCTGGAGTATTGTGTCCACTGCCATATTACAATTTAACACAAGAAGCAAATTCAAAAACTTCTATGATTCATGTATGGCGTAATAAAAGAATACAAAGTTATCCGTGAAATTGAACATGACAAAAAGTATTTTGAGGGTATTTCCATACCTAAGGCAATATTATAGGCCATATTCCCTTCGACATTGAACTAAAAAAATTAAAATTATGTTTGAAGTGCACGCAATATGCAAGATTTCACACTGATGGAAATCACCAATTTACACAATACAAAGATAAAATGCACACAGTTTTATTGTCTCAAAAAATCATATATACTGCCATGTTACTGGCAGAGATAAAGTTGTGTAAATAGACTCAACCAAAAATGGAACGTTTTGAGCTTAATAGACAGCAAGTTTGTATTCCAAATTACGATACTCAAGAATGATTATTGATATCACTAACTAGTGAAAAACAGTGGTTACAAAAATTGATTACGTTAACATGTAAACTAATTTCGTGAGTCAATGAACTTGTGAAACTCGGTCATCACGAAAGCCATAAAATCAACAAACTCCTCACAGCCAAAATTAAGTTGTTTACAGTACAACTGGTAGTAGGAATCCTGCTATACAGTCAATGACAGACACAAACAATGATTTACAAAAGATGCAACAAGGAATCTGAGAATGTGGAATATTTTGTCAGGTTAATTCCCCCATTCCAGGGCTTTGACAAACTCTTCTTCTGTGAAAGACAGCATTTTGGCAGCTTCTATGTGCATCTGAAATCAATAAATCAGTCAATATTATTTTTGAAAATGACGAGAAGCAGAGACTTCAAACTGATAATGTATCCTTTCAAGTCAGAAAAAGGAATACATTAGATGCTCTGATACCGTTTGGATGCATAGTGAACAATGGCTGGACCACTCCCAAGATGCACTGGTGCACACTTTAACACTATTGGTGTTTGTGTGAAAACCAGGGTATGAAGTTTGATATATGCCACTATTTTGAATAAGACACTGGTAAAGAGTTTTCTACATCAATGCAATACTATAAATTCCAAGATTGTAGTGAATGTTTTGAGAGGCACTCTTGGTATCAAATCTTGGGGGAAATTAGGAATCCATTTTGTTCAAATTTTATTTCATAAAAAATGCATTCTACCTACACCAGTACACATAATATATGTATTTTTCATCATCACACCAAATTTTGAAGTAATAATTTTACCATAGAAACCAGTGTGAAAATGCCAGTTTTGATCATTTCTCATGACAATTTGAAGCCTTTCTATTTGAAAAATTGTTTGTGACCCATATTTTTTGTTTTCATTTTCGGTATCCTGATGGTGTGAACCCATACTAAAACAAGCAGCCTATCGGCTGAGATAGCTCCGCTGTCAGCAATGCACATTTCAATTCAAGAACTGAAGACATCATTAGAAAATGAACAATATGTATAGTATCAAAGCAATCGGACTTACAGTTTTTAACAAGAAGTCGAAAATATCACTTTCTACCAAAAATGACAAAAATATTCACCAAAATTAGAGAATTGGAGATATCATCACGAAATGAACAAATCTGAGAAAGGTCTACATGTAGTATCTATATATGTAATATCAAAGCAATTGAACTTTTGGTTTTT